TCCTGTTGGGTTTTGAATGTCTCCAAGGATGGAGAGTCCATAACATTATTTTTAATGTTTTTTGTGTTTGAGAATACAAAATTAGAAGTAGTTCATGCCCATCAAGTCCCCTATGACCTCCATCAGTTGACCCACTCAGTTTTCCTTCCATGAGGTTTTTTTTTACTTCAAGAATTCAACTTTGCAGTTTAACTGTTTCATTTTGACTAATCTTCTTTACGATTTCTCTACAGCTACACATTTCCAATTTATTTTGTCATAAATTATTTTCCATTCTATAACAAAAAAAATCTCTTGCCTCTTTACTACATTTGTTTTGATACAGTTTATGTAGAAGAATATTTATATAAAACAATAGTATAGAAATGTAAATAATAGTTTTGTAGTGCAAGCTCCCGCAGAGATGATGTACTCACTCATACACTATAAAAGACAGTCTTGTTCTGAGTGTTTGTATGTTTTTACTACAGTTTGTAAATATATAAGTGGATAAATGGAGTGAAAAATCTTCTGGTGAGTTGTCTCTGGTTTTTGAATGATAACTAAAATTTTATATCAGTCCTGACTGTAAGCTGTTTCATGCCATTTACCTTATTTTGTTAGACTTCTGTCATTTTTTAAAAATTATTTCTATGATGTTCCATGTATATCTGTAACTATGGAAACCATGAAGTGATTAAAAGAAGTACATTTGATGCTTCTGTCGCTCATCAAGACAGCCAAATGTTCAAATAGTTAGACAAAACTTTTTGTTGTTTTTAAGAAGCTTAGAAGAATATACAAAAATGATCTGTGAGATAACGATTTCTAGTGTAGCTTAATGGTCTATGAAAAATGGAGATTGATGTTACAGAAAATGTGACTAGCAATTCATGGTTACTACATTACCAGAAATATATTAAGAAATTGAAGGAAATTCAGGCAAGAGAAATAAAGTTGAAAAAGAAACTGATCTATTTGAGTGAGAACAAAGCAAAGATTTCTGAAGCTGTGATTGTTGCTGAGGCTTAGAATTCTCCCACTGCTGAGGAAGTAAAAATACTGAGGGTGAAACTGGATAGTGTGAACAAGATGAGTGAGGAGAGAGCGTGCGTAGCAATATGAAAAATGGCTTTAAATAGGGTAAGCTTAAATACAGGGCCTGTTGAGGAATCAAACCATTGGGATATATGGGATTGCTCAGTTTAAAAAAAAGTGGTCTATGCCTCATGATGACCTGTGAATAAATAAAGCCTGTACTGTCTGATGATCCATAAACTTTTTATGAGGGTTTGTTTTATTTTTCCAAAAGTGAAATTCTCAAGCCCAGACAAATCAGCCCAAACAATTTATGGAATCATGGAATTGTTTAGGTTGGAAAAGACCTTTAATATCATCAAGTCCAACTGTTAATTAATACTTGCTGTGTCTCTTTGATTTTTTAAACCCTCTTTTCTCTTGATACAATTGTCTCTTCTGTCTCCCTGCAAATTGTAAGTTTGTGAATTTTGATCATTTTACTTAGAAGTAGACCTAAAACCAGAGCTACAAGCAAGTTCAGGTGCAAGGTTTCACAGATTTATCCAAGCTATAGTCCTGCTTTAGGAGGCCACAACTGTAACTGCGACAAGCAATACAATTTTTTTTAGTGTGTTTTTAGTGATGTGTATTAATTAATTTACTTGTGTGGTAAATTTAGGAAAAAAACCCAAACTTACAGGGGGAGAATATTTCAAATTACTGTATTTAAATATGCCGGTGTGAATTTTTACACAAAACCGAAGACTTCTCCACTAGCAATTTTGGTTTCTTCCTTGGACTCCAAAGGCATTCTCAGAGAAGTACATTGTGATAGTGACTGGAACCTGGCTGTGTGCTGGTTTAGAGATATTATTTCATATAATAACCTTATAGTTGCCTGAATGTATCACTTCCAACACTCAGTTTGCTGCAGGATTATTCTAGAGAGTCTTTCATTTTTGTGGAAGTTGTCAGGAGCTTTCAGAATGATTGGCAGCTGTAGCTGAGAGATTTTGGCAGAAGGGCTTGTGAAGAAAGTCAGTGGTTTTTTGTTTTATTTTTATCTTAAAATGACTAGTAAAGCTGTTGCTAGCAGCAGTGTCAACAAAACTGGCATTAAAATCCCTTTTGATGTTAACTCTTGAAACATTGCTCCACTGCACCTTTTCTTCATTTTTCTATTGGCAGTTTGTAATTGTGGCTTTAAAAACTTAGGCCAGGAATAAGATTAGGATCAAACTGTGAACTGTGTGTTCAGTTGCCTAAAAGTGGGCATCTGATGCCATTTTTTTATGCCTTACAGTATGTAAGACACATAGCAGATGTGACGTATCTCCTGTGACAGTCTTGTACCCTCTTAAGTGGCACGTGACAGCCAGGGGGAATATGCTGACTTATCTCTAATGGCACTCACCTAACATTGGGCACAGGATTTGATTTAATTTTATTTTGTTGTGTCTACTTGAGAGTGAATGGCTTCTCTTTGGATGGAAACTTAAATACTTGCCATGCCCGTCGGCATTTCTGTGAGGACAGAAAAAACTTAAGCATCTTACTCTGATCCTTATTCGTACACTTAGGATCTGATCTGGAAAGTTAACATCTCAAGGCAAGCAGGAAGAGTATGAAGTGCAGTCTCTAGTGCAAATGGAAACTTCTGATAAGGTGGACTTTTGAACATCCCTCCTGGATGCTCTTAGTCAAACATGTAAATGGCACCGCAGACTTTAAGGTGACATGTAGTTCTGTGAGCAGCAGGGCCTCGTTCCCTATGAACATGTCTTGCGGTTGAATTGATATGTAGACTGTGATGCCAATAACAGATTGCACTAAGGAAATATTTATAGGGCTTTTCTAGAACTGCCTTTTTCATGAAACTCTTGAGAATATAATCCCTTGAAAACTTCCATGCCTGTGCAAAATTTTATTACATTTGTCCAGTGGGTTAAAACATTATTGGAGTGTGTGGGGAGAAAACGGGAAGAAACCAATCATCTGTCAGCATAAACCTCTTTTTCTTGCCAAACTGGGATAAAAATATGAAGGTGAAAACCTAAGTTACAAAGAAAATCTGCTCTGCACAGGAATGGAAGAACAGAGAGTGCTAAAATTACTTTATATCACAGTCCTGAAATGGCTGAACCCTGTATGTCTGATGAACATCAGTGTGGGCAAAGCAGTCCTCTCCGTGCTTGGAGGGGAGAATGGTAGAGAATGAATTGTACTCTCCTTTTAAACCCTTTAATCTAGCGGAGAGGCTTCAGCAAAAAAAAAAAGCAGAACTTAGACTCCTAGGCTACTTCTTTACTAACAAATGAAACCTGGTCTGGGACTGTTCCTAGGCATTAGAGTATCTTTAGTAAACCAACAGAAGGCTGCTTTGCACGGTCTTGGTCTTCTGCCCACCAGCACTTTCTTGTCAATTTTTCCTGGTGGTTTGGGAGTTTGGGTTGCTCCAAGGCTTATCTCCAGGAGGCAGTTTGTATGCAGCCATCCTAGAGATCCTAGTAGAGATGCAAGTTACTTCATGTCATTTGGCACGGGTGCTCAAAATTGTTTCTGTGCAAGTTTAATGTACTAGTATGGGTGTCATTTCAAGATGTAGTTTAACAGAAGATGGCGACCCACTGCCATAGAGAAAACATCCTCTTCACCCCTCTCTTTCTGGCCACATGATTTCACTACTCATCATACCCCTCCATGAGAAATATAGATGTGACAAAAAATCAAGCCAATTTAACAATACAGATAAATTTCTACTTTTTTTTTAAATGGAAGTGGCTCCTGGGAGGACCTGACAGTCAAGAGTGAGCGTACAAGGGAGCATGCAGTATGGTGAAGCTGGGAACGAAGGGAGAGGACAAAGCTGGATAGGGAGAAAAAAGCAAGAGAGGAGGGAGGTGGGGAGAAGACCTTCCCTTTTGATGACCAGGAGCCATTGGATGAACTCAGCTGTCTGTACAGTTTTGAAAAATATGTGAAATAAAAGCTTGGATTCACAAGCACATTTTCATTAGAAAGGTAGAGTTGTTTACTTATTTAGATTTTGCACTAATGTAAGGATTCAAGTAGATTTTCAGCTTAATTTATTTATATTTTAATGGAGTGAAGCCGTCATGACACTTAAACTAGGATTTTAATACAGAATTCATTTTGATATAGCAAAAGAGATTAATGCAATACTGTATACTAATTTCATGGTTTGCTGCATGTTTTATGTTATCCCAGAAACATTAAGTGATACACAGTCTAACTTAATTCTGTGAATGAATAGTTTCATAATAGCAAATTGATACCATTTCTTCCCTCTGACTTTCACGAGATGACTTGTAGGATGGTGGCAGAGCTCTGCTGAAGTTAATGGTGCCTCAGGCAGAGGAGAGGGTCTGCCTAATTAGATCTGTCTGAAATAACGAGTGTCTTCTAGAAATGCATAGAAGAAGGTGGCTGAAGGAACATTAACAAAAGGAATAAACTGAAAAGATGTTGTGTATACACCCTTCAGAAGGGAAATAGTTAAGGTAGCATGAAGGTTCATTAAGGAATAGCTTGTGGTCTGTTATTTTAGCACACTTGCTACCTATTTTGTTGTACGGAGATGAAGCAGGATGCATACAAGTCAGTGTAACTGTGGGCTTGCCATTTCTAAACTCATGAAGCATGAAGGAACATGCTCCTTATGGAGTCTCCTCAGAATCCGGGCTTGGGTGAAGGATTTGGGGACCTTCCTCTGATCTTAGCCTGAGTTTTGCCTGCATGTGTCACACAAATGTTGTATAAAGTTTGTGTACCCCCTAATGTGACTTTAGGCTCCCAGTGCATGTTTGGAAGTCTCCAAATCTGAATTCGAAAAAAGTCTTTTTCTGCATTCTAAAATGCAGTTTTGAAATACGTAATCATGAAGAAGTTTTTTAACGGAAAATGCTCTTTTTCTTTGTGTGTATAGTTGTATATATTGTTTACTATGGGCTCTTTCAAGTTGGAATTTCATGTTGTGTTAGTACAGGAATACTGTTCCTACTCATTGTGGATCACATTCAGCAGTACCCGTAAGAGTAAGTTTGAGGAATATTTTTTCTGTGAATGAAATACCCCATATTCCACGTGAAGGCAAGCATGGGATCCTTCTAGCATGTTTTCACGCAGCCTGTAAAGTTTCCACGTGAATCTGTGTGGGAACTGTTGACCCACCTCTGCTGAGTCCTGTATGTGCCACTTTGGTTTTGTTATGTAGCAGTAAAGCCCAGAACCCTTTGCTATGCTGTGAAAATGCACATTTTTCCAGAGCCATGTGTATGAACCCTTTGAATGAGGAGCACCCCTTTACTGGTTCTCTTTAACAGCTTCATGTGTGGACATGCATTGACCTGTGCAACTATGCAATAAACCAGAACCAAACCCAACAACAAACACCAGACTCTGAATGTCTTGAATGACTTACTGTAGTACTGCATCAGAGCTCACCATCCGGAAAAGAGTAAACAGAAACTATTTTTGAAGTGACAGGCCAGAGTAAAATTGTCTAACACTCTTCATTTTACTGATGCATCGCGTGGAGGTCCAGAAGCCACATTAGAGAACTGTAATCCTTCATCAGAGCATTTGTTTGGTTGCCTAACATCTGTGGATTGTTAAGATAAGTTATTACACAGACCTGCTTTAGTTTAGATTAGTTTGGACCACATCCCAGTATATTCAATCAGGATATAATTCCTGCATGCTGCTAAATCGCTTGCTCCACATACTTCTCTAAAAATGTTTTTCAGTATACAGTTTTGTCACTGAAACTGTTCTGTCACCTCAAGTTTTGTTTGGTTTGGTTTTTTTGTTTTTTTCTTCTTAAAGAAAAACTTTTATTATTTTTCCTTTTGGACTGAATATATCTCAAGGCAAACATAGCATTTACTAAGTCCTGAAGAGATTCCTAAACAGAGATGGTAGTGTAGCTTCTATGTGAGTATAATGCAGCTTTCCTACATGTGTAATCTGTGGTGATTGGTATGTATTGTGTCCAAACTGCAGTGTTTAAAGACAGCTGTAAGAAAACGGGTTTGTATTTACATGTCTAGTATTTCTTCTTTCTGTATTCTGTGTTTATTTGTGCATTAGCTATTACTATTTGTTTGGATCTCATAATATTTTGGATAAAATAAATTATAACATCAAAGGTAATTATGTAAATTAATGGTAATTTATGGAAGTTTATTACCTACTTTAGACATATTTTAAATGATCAAATACATTAAATAGTAAATGAAGTCTGTTACTATCTTTACACATTTAAATGTGCTTGTATACATACACACATATGTAATTTAATTAGAATATTTAGATTTTACTTTAGTATTCCTTCCTTTAAACAAACTCTAGTTGATTTATTTTTTTATTAACACTTTTTTCAACCTTCCCTGTAAACTGATAAAATACAGGCAATGACATATTTTTCATTAATTACTTTAGTTTGTAGCACTGATATAGATTTTATACACATGTGTATGCACACTCTTGCTGTCTAATGAGCTAACAGTTGTGTCATTAAAGCCATTTAAAAATCTGGGGTTTTTTTCCTGTTAGTCTTGCTGGTTTTTTTAAATACTTGTAGTAATAATAATACTAGATAGACTAAAAATTTATTCTACAAGAGATAATCTGATAAGATGAATCTCTGTTTTGTGAGGTGTACTAGATGAAGGAAATAAGACATTTTGGAATCAAGGGGTTTTTTTTGTTAAAGGACTAGCATTTATTTTGTCGAAGTTGCTATTCCTATTATCCTACTGAGGGGTATCTGTTTTTATCATAATACGTGTTTGTGCTGCTCTTGGAATAACTGTAGCTTTTGATTAACGGGGTTTTTTTAACTAAATCAAGTTTTAGTAGGTATTTTATTATCCTTCTGAAATAGAAGAAATGTAAGAGTGATCTTTTGATAAAGGCACAATCCAGATACAGGGAAAAGAGTCTCAGTGTGATTTGGTCAAACAGTGGAGAAATGGTATTGGAAGTTCTCATGTAATCTTCAGACCTAAACTTATAGTCTATTTTATGGTGTTTTAAATAAATCTTAATTACGATAAATATGTAAAATGCCTGACATTTTCATCATGCCATGTAAGCCATGCACTTCCTCCCCAGGCCAGAGAGTAAGAGAGCTCAGTACCAGAGATCCTGTTGCAATTTCTTCGCTGAAGTGATTGTTTTATCTGTTCCTTTTAATTTTAAGTGTTGTATAATTTTGTGACTGTTGCATCATTCCTGTTTTTACACAAAATAATTTAAGCATATTTTTCATTCCAATTTTTATGATCCTTCTTACCCTCTTTACAATTTTACCCTTTCTTTTACTTCTTCCTGAAACTGAAAGATTTTCTTTAGTGTTTTCCTTATTAGCTGTCAGCTTTGTTTCCTCTCATCTCTTTTTTTTATTTCTGACAAAATTCCTACCTCTTATGTATTCTTCGTGCCTTTTGCCTTTTTTCTTCTTCTGCCTCAAAACTCCTTTTGTCTTTGTCTCAATTTTTTTTCTTAAATATTCACACACTTTAGAGTCCTGATTAACCTTTTATTTTTCTCTAGTGATTTACTCCTTTACATAAGACTGTCTTGTATTGTATATAGACTTGAAACATAGGGTCTTGTTTTACGGTGTGCTCCTGTTTATCTGTGTATGTGGAATTTAAAAAAAAAAAAAAAAAGTCCTAAGAAGCTCCGTTTATGTACACAGCTTGGTTTTGATTGCCAGGGACACATATTTAATTTAATTTGTTTATTATTTACAGCTATAACTCAAAGAGATGGTAAATGATCATTTTCAAGTAGTACAAAATGTGGTACTTTTGCATTCTTTTCATCGGTGCGTTTAGTTCTCTATTAGTAGGTTTCTTTAGGTCTTACCTTACATCACTGGTAAGTAGTTATTGTGGATGTAGCTAAAACCATGCACAGTAAATGCTGAATTTATTTGCAGGATAATGTTGAGTTATGTTATGTGAGAAAAATTAAAGGGAAATACTGTGCCAATTTTCTGTGATGGCGGAGGTTGGGAGTTAGCTGGGTAGGACTCTTCCACTTGAGGTGCAAGTCCCATTTACAGTCTGGTAGGCTTGTCCTGACAGCCATCCACACCAATGAAACCAACCCAACAACCCATCCCCACAACTGCATTAACACCAGCAACAAGTGTTGGCCGTGTTGGTGGTGTTTATTCAGAAGCAAGCTAGGGCTGGGCTGAGGGGGGATTGCTACAGGTAGGACTGACGTATATTGACAGCACATTTTGGAGAAGCTCGCGTAGCATGTGCCTGTAGGATGCTTGGCTCTAGCCAGTGTAGTCAGTGCTTGGAGAAGCATGTTCTGGCTCCTGTCATGAGCACCAACCTCACCGGTTTAGCGGACAGTGAGAGATCGTACCTGCTCTGTGATAGTGAGCATGTATTTCAGGGTCTGAGGGGTAGCTGCACTGACTTTTCTTGTTGTCTTCAACTAGGTTATGTGGGTATGCAATTTATGTCGAAAGCAACAAGAAATCCTAACGAAATCTGGAGCCTGGTTTTTTGGAAGTGGACCACAGCCCTCACCCAGCCAGGACGGAGCATTGAGTGATACAGCGACTGGTGGAAGCTCGGATGCACCGAGAGAAAAGAAAGCAAGACTTCAAGAGCGATCAAGATCACAGACTCCCTTAAGTACAGCAACTGCCTCATCACAGGAAATCTCTTCTTCCAGTGTGCAGTCTGACCGTAGGAAAGGAGCAGAAGTATCACAGCCGGCTATGGGCCCGGACCAAAAGCAAGTTTCATCAAGGTCTAGAAGTGAACCTCCAAGAGAGAGGTAATGCTTTCTGTCTTGATAGAACCTCACAATTACAAATGCTACATCTGTAATATTACACAAGGCTGTCAGCTGGCTTTGTGTGTGTTTAGAACTGTGTAAAAACAAAGAATAAATTGATTTACCAACAGGGGAAGAATACGTGTTCATTGGCAAATACATTGTCCAATTTGGACTTTGCAACAGAAATGAGGGAAAAAAGTAATAGTTATTTTTAGGGATATTCCCATGTACTTCAGTGCATTTTGGTGTACACTTTTAATACAGAATTGTAGGTTACTTTTCAATTTTAAATTTTGTAGGTATTTTAAAGTTATTAAACAAAGAGCAAGCCTTTAACTTAATGAATTAATGTACTAGAATTAAAAAAAACAACACCCAAACAACACCCCCCAAAAAAACCCCAAACAAACAAAAGCCCACTCTGTGGAGTTCTGTCAGATATCCGTATGTGTTATCTTTTTATCAATGATTGTATTATTTTTAATAATAAGCCAGGAACTATTAAAAGAGCTCATTTACACCTGCAAATAAATATTCATGAAGAACAGTAGTAGTACCATCTTGAATTCAGAGCAAGTTGTATGCAAGAATAAAGCCAACTGGAAGCAAGCTATTATATTTAAAGTGAGTAAATGAGTAAATTCCTGAGCTGCAGTCAGTGTAATGAACGGGTTGAGGACTAGCAAATCAAGAGAGGATAATGTGATGAAGCAGTTGATGTTCTTTTGGCTGCTGCCTGGCAGATGGTAGAGCAGTTGAGGAGGGAGCCTGTGGCAGCAAAACAAGTCTTCCATAGAAGATTCTCCCTTGGCCAGAATGGTTGATGAAAATGGATGAGAAACAGTGGCTGGTAACTTACTGTGTGAGTGAGGTCTGTCTGGGTTTAACTGTACCAAAACTCAGGTTAGTGTTACGTATATGTAAGATGTAAATGAACACATGGTGCTCTCCCCTGATTCTGTTGACATTTTTCCCCCCAGCACTTGGAAGACCCCCAGAGCAGTTATCACTCAGCTGAAGGACAATTTTAGGGCAGCAAAATGCTTTCTATTTCTGCGTTGCTGTCCAAAAGTGAGATGGTTATATCAATTACACAGTAGTAATGTTCTGAATGGAGCGCATCTATGGTATCTCAGGTCCCATTTATCACCAAAAACTCAGGAGGAGCAGGAGATGGAGAAAGAGGAGAGAGGAGCTTAACTTGGAACTTGCTTGTCCTGTCGGATGCATCTGTAAAAATCTGTGATATGTAATGTGAAGATGTATCAGTTGTGGAAGGGAAGATTAAGTGCCACAAAACAAAGTCCTGGTGACTTTGTCCTGGTGCAGGTTCATCTAAAACACAGTGTATCCCTGTCTTCAGCCTTCTTCAAAATGGATGGATTCATATGTGAACTGGTAAACAAAAGGAGAATTGGAATGATGAGAGAAATAAAAATACCCAGTGTAAGGGGATTTTATGATTCTTCAGCTTGCTTATTCTCCCAAAGCAGAAGATGAGAGAGGAGAGACCAGAATTTTCAGGCAGCTTCATTATTCATTGTTTTGTACTTTGGCTGTATAGAGAAATAAATTACATTTTTCATTTTCTTTTATTAACAGAGAAAGGAATGCCATTAATTTATCTGAAGGGGTCAATTTGCTTTTCTTTATATGCTTATGAAATGGGCACTTCTTTTTAGACTTTTAGTAAGATAAAGCAAACAAGGTCAAATATTATTGTTTCTGGAAATACTCTTTTGCTTTTTTTTTATAGTCATATTAATTCTTTCTGTAATGTCATTGTGGGAAATACTCCATTTGGTGGTGTTTATATTTATACTGTCAGAGTGTTTGAAGTGAATTGTGTATATGTGGTTAGTCTGTAACCCTCATGACTGCTGCCAGAAAAATGGAGAACATACACCAATACTCTGTCATAGGGCTGCAGTTACTACCAAGATGATTTTGAGTCTTCCTACTTACGTGGGTAAAATATTTTTATCTGCATTTATCCACGTTAATATTCTTTGTGATTTTACTCTTTAATTGGACCATCTGTAATTTATGTTTTTGTGGACTCTGGAAGTTGTTTGCTATTGGAAAATAAAAGTACTGCTGGAAGGATTAATAGATTTAAGTCATGTTAATGGATCCAGTACCTTTCTATATGTTTTGCCATAGCTTATCCTGGTTTATAATCTATTTACCATAACAGTGTAGACAAGTATTTTTACTTTGCATTCAACTCCTCAAATTATTATACTCCTTTTCATTGTAGGAAGAAGACAATACTGGTTTCAGACCAGAATGGCAAAGGTTTAAAGGGTGAGCGTAAGCGCGTGCCAAAATCCTCACTTCAAAAAGAAGGACCAGCAGAGCGTAAAGAACGGCACGAAGGTAGAAGGCTGGAGAAAGGCAAGTCACAGGACTACCCAGACTTGCAAGAGAAACTCGAGGAAGGCAAAGTGCCTGATGATGAAAAACAAAGGAAGGAAGATGAATATCATACCCGTTACAGGAGTGACCCCAATCTGGCAAGATATCCTGTAAAACCACATCCTGAAGAACAGCAGATGCGCATGCATGCAAAAGTTTCTAAAGCACGGCATGAGAGAAGACACAGTGATGTAGCTTTGCCACATACAGAAATGGAGGAAGCGGAGGTACCTGAGAATAAATTAGGAAAACGCTCACAATTACAGGGAACTCAGGACAGAAAATCTCTTGTGGAAACTCAGAGGTCGTACTCTATAGACAGAACAGGTGATGTAAGAATTTCTGTTTCTAAACAATTAACTAATCATAGCCCACCAACTCCCAGGCATAGTCCAGTTCCTATAGAACACGTAGAGTACAAGAACCACGATTCCTTTAAAAAACAGAGCCGCCTTGATCCTAGCTCTGCTATTCTCATGCGAAAAGCAAAGCGGGAGAAAATGGAGACCATGCTAAGGAATGATTCCCTTAGCTCTGACCAGTCGGAATCAGTGCGGCCATCCCCTCCAAAGCCTCATAGAGCAAAAAGAGGCGGAAAGAAAAGGCAGATGTCAGTTAGTAGCTCAGAGGAAGAAGGGGCATCAACACCAGAATATACTAGCTGTGAAGATGTGGAGATAGAAAGTGAAAGTGTCAGTGAAAAAGGTAAGGACCTTTATGTATATTATGCACATGGCCATGGTTTGGGGAAAAAAATATCTGTATTTTTCTCTCTCTTTTGCCTCTTTTTTTTAAACATACACCTTTGTTTTTCCCCTTACCTTTCTTTTTTTTTTTTCCAGTTGAGAAGTATCTTATACCTGTTTACATTTGGTTTGTAATGTTTCCTTTTGCATTCTTAGATGAGGTGGTTACAGGTAGCATCAGCTGATGAGTTTCTTTCTCATTCTCTTTCCTCTTTCACCTAGAACTGACAGAATTTAAGGGTTCTAGTTTATTCTCTCAGTAGTATCTGTACTCCTTTGGTCATTGCTTCATCCTTTTGTCTGTATGCAGTATAATTTTCTGTGAATTGATTGAAATGGAAAGTGAGTTTTGTAACAATTTGAGAAGACCATTGTAAAGCATCATAATATTACTGACACCTCAGCCTTAAGATATGCAAAATTTTACTACATTTAATAAAATATCAAGGATCTGCCAAAGTTCATTGTTAACAAGGGCATGACATGGGGCAAGGGAAGTGTTACATTGTAAAGAAATGAGAATTGCCTAACATGTTTTCTAGATGAATTTGCTCTCAAGCTTACAAGTATGTTTAAAATCTGTTATTTCAGTTTGCCTTCATCTGTTGATGGTAACATTCAGCAGTGAGGAATAAGTGTAGTACACTGTGTGCTTTTAAACAAAGTCTTTCTTCTGGCTGAAGAAGTTAATCAAATTCATGAATGGTGAACAGATAAAATAAGCATCATCAGAAAAGACTGTGGTAGAACCTACCAACTGTCTTATAACCCTAATTTGTCTTTAAGTGACACTACAGTGAGCTGAAGGCTTTTTGTATCTTTGGAAGTAGCTTTTAGCTCTTTAGTTTAATTATCTGCGTTTGTAACTTGAAAGTTTTCTGCTGGTATTCATACTCAAAATGTCAACGGCTTGTCTGCATTGCCTTTTAGTTCCTGGCACTGTTTCCTGACATGTTTTGATTCATATATGCTAACCTGTCTGTCTGTATCTGATGTTGTGGTCTCCTGACATGCCCTAAAGCTCCAGGTATACATATAAAAAAAGACAACATTTCTCTCCTATCCCATTTGAATAGCTGCTTGTTTTAGCTTCCTGAGCACAAACTTTGCTATTCAAAATATGGAAGCTTGCTTTTCTGCTCATTTCTAAGGACGAATGATGATCATGCCTCTGAAATCTTAATCCAAATTCCACTTAGACATAAAACCCCCTCACTTTTCTGACTGGGGGGGTTGTCAAACACTAGAACATACGGCACAGAGATGTTGTACAGTCTCCATCCTTGGAGATGCTAAAAACCCAAATGGAGAAGGCTCTGAGCAATCTGCTCTAGCTGACCCTGCTTTTGAGCAAGGGGGTTTGAACTAGGGACCTACACAGGTCCCTTCCAGTCTCAGCTATTCTGTCTTTCTAAGAGTTTCCCTTATTTTGTGGCAATGTTTTAGGCTGACATTTGGATTTGTGTAATTTTCCTTGACATCCTCTGTTGGTAGTAGCAGTCTAATACAGCATTTCCTTTCCGTCTTTGTTTTTTGCTTTCATTTATTTGCATCAATTTGAGGTTGCTTATGAAGTAGAAAGGTTTTTTCCATATTCAGAGAAGGGTGTCATTATAAACTGGAAGGACAGTGATGTGGAAGTCAAGTCCAGGCTGAAAGTCATTGATATTGATATCACTATGTTGATATAGTTTGCTCTATAATGGTCCTTTGTAAATAAAACCTTTTGATGGTTGCTTTCAGGCTCATGACACTGATCTCAGCTTTTGACCAATTTCCTAGTGTATTGTTAAACCATTAAGGGTTGGACTTTTTTCTTCGGTGTTATGAATCCTAGAGGATTTCAAATGTCACCTAATGCTTATGTTCTCAATCACTGAATCAAGTTCTTGGTTACCTCCAAGGCAGATATTTAGGCTTCCCTTTTAGACAGTGGAGGCTTTAGTCTGTATCATATCACAGTGCTACCTCACTGTGTTTGAAATAAAAATTGTATGTTAGGGACCTGTCCAACCAGTGCCAACTCAATACTTGGTTAACATTGCTGAGCATTCTTTGAGACCTTATCTCTACTTGTCAGTAAGCTAGCACCGTTATTAGTCAGAATATATATATACGCACACACATATATATGTGTGAATATATATGTTTGTATGTGAGTATGCAATACATTCATTACAGAAATTTATTTATTAATATAATAGCTGTGAGATGTAGCTGTTAATGGGGTTTTTTTTGCCTGATCTTGATATGACTTTTACAATCCTTGTCATGGGAAAAGAAGTGGAAAGCCTTTGAAGCGAGGGGTATAGTACAGAAAAAGAGCTAGGAAATTGTGAATAAAAATGAGAAAGCAGAAGCATTTTTGGTAGTAAAATATCCAAATTTTTTAGAATTAAATTTTCATCGGTACTTGAAAAAATCTGCAGTATTTTGTGAGAATAGATGGAAAGGCAGGAAATTTTATTACTTAAGAAAATATTTTAGAAATCCTTCGATATTTTAAAAGAAAAAATCCACAGTAAAAGGGTGTAGTGTTAAAACAGTTATACTAATAATTAAAAAATGCCCCTATTGTAACTGAGGTCAGAATCCCATTCTTTGCAATTTAGCAGCATCATTACAAAAAGGATTTCACCCATCATTCCTTCAGAGCTTTGCTTGTAATTTGGGAGAGATACTGCACAGGTCTGTAGTTGTAGCACTTTAGTTTATAAGCCCAGGAGGTCTGGAATCCATCCTCTCTTATCTAAATATCAGCTCAGTCAGAAATCTGGTTTCAAAGTAATAGAAATGGAGCTAGAAAGATAGAATTATTACAAATAAAATTTTTAACTTTGAACAGCCTTACCAGGAAAAACCAAGATCTTAAAATTAATGTTCACATTTGATGAGTGCCAATATAAAGCAATCAGAAACAGTAATAAATATTCAGTTCTATATTGAACAACTAAAATAGAAGTTTTCTGTGGAAAACTGCTTACAGAGATGTTTAAAAGAAAATGATGCCCCATAGAAATATAATGTATTAGTAGAGTGGATAAGACTGTATTGAAAATAAATAGCCAAAAATGACATATAAAGTAGATACTATGCAAAAGTTATTTCTTCACATTTGCATTTCCTAGACGCACTGTCTTCTGAGCACAAAAAAAACCCCTTCTAAAAGTGATATTCTTAAATACAAAGCAAGCTAACTTAGCTAGTGCATCCCCTGCTATTTACTGTAACCATTTAATATGTATTTCTTCAAAATTATTAACAAAATAATTCACAAGCACTGGAGATGATACTTTCCAAAAAATAAATGTCTTTTGCAATCCACTGGGATTGCAGAGGATCCAAAGATTGATATCCAGTTGTTTCCATGCTGGAGTAAATCTAGAGAAAGAACTGTTTAGCGATGTCCAAAAAGGTAATCTCAAATTTCTTTTTAAAAACATCTGCACTATTAATGATTGCTGATAATTGTTTTCATCCTGTTATTAATGCAAGCTGTAGGACTCCTTATTCTGAAATTCATAATAGTTGAACATTATGTGAACTGAGTTTCCGCTGACAACACTGTCCTTGCAAGGCAAAAGGAGTCCTCTTAGAAGGCATAAATTGCATTCATACTCGCTTCAAAGACTTGCTAGAATAACGTAAACCAGACTATTACAAATGAAATCCAGACCTCATTTTAAAACTGACAACAGCTTCTGCCTACTGCCATCCAATGAAGAATGCAGATTAATTTGGAGTAAGTTTGAGAAAAAATATTTTTTTTAAAGTTTAAAACCAAGAATTTGCATAGAAGTAGTAGATTTTTGTCCAGATGAGGTTGTATGTAACTTCTTTTATCCCGTGATAGATACAAGAGATATTTTAGGCTTCTGTCCTGCAGTCTTTGAAACTGGAAGATAAAATAGTGTTGGAAATTGGAACAATGTGAGGAGGTACTGAAAGCTGCTCATGTACTTTTATGTAAATAGATGTGCTAAGGGTTTTACATTTTGCATACTCATTGTTCATATTTGCCTAAATGTGTATGTTGTTCACATCGTTTAGGCTTGGAAATATGCCTAATATGTGCATATTGTCAGCAAAATGGTAAAAAGCTAAAAGTAAAACTCACTTTGTATACTTGCTAATGGATTTAATTGTGAGTAAGGAGAGCGTGATAGACTTCGAGTCTTGTTTGGAAAAAATCCTCCTGTGATGACATTGCAGTAACTTTCAGTGAAGATGTGATTGTTTCATTCACACTGCCTTTCTTATGGTACCGGGAGGAACAGAGCGACCTGGTTTCCATTTGTTCTTATGACATTACCCTTCTGATTAGAAAGTGTCAGGGGCAGGATCTTACTGAGATCTTGTGTATGCACAGGTGTGAAGCAGGGAGGTTGTGACCAGGAGGAGTGGACCTGAAGGTCAGAAGGAGAAAGGGATGCTGTGGTTTGCAGATGAATGAGTCAGTGCTGGCTCAGCTCCAGGAGGAGAGGATCTGACCCCTTCCTCCATCCTCCTCTGGTGTTTTGAATGTTGGTTTGGGTGCTCATGCTTGGGGGTGCTCCTGCAGGAAGGACAGCATAAGTTAAATCCCTGCCCTAGTGATTTATTCCAAGTGCTGTAGCACTGTTGGCAAGGAAGGTGGCTTGTGGGCTAAGAGAGAAACCACACACATGCGGCAGGGTGTATAAATGGACTTTAAGAAAACATCAGGAAAAGGCTATAGAGAAGAGGAGGCTTGTTTTAGATGTTTTTAGCTAAGCTTTTTCACTGAGGTATTTTAAATCTGGAGTGTAGGCAAGTCAAGTTGTACTGTAACATCTGTTAGCATATTTTAACATCTGTTCGCGTGGAGAGTTGGGCATGGAATTTTAAAAAGTGCTGAATTTGTTTAAAAATGTGACTGAGCTTTAGCTTAGAGTAAAATAAAATACCTTTGATAGGAAGATTGTTAGTTCTTAGAAATTA